AGTGCCACTCAGACGAGATTGGTCAATGGTTAGAGGCCAGACAAACTCAGCTTCCAGGTCCTCCGGTTTGAGGGTGGCGGCTTATTCCTTAAAACAGACTTCTTGTAACAAACCGAAAAACCCACAGCCTTACGATCAGGTTTTTGATTAAGAGGCTTCGGTTGAGAACCCCAGTCGATATCTTGTCTAGGCCTGGGCAACCTGACAATACTCTGCTCACACTCACAGACACCATACAAGTAAGCTAGAGGTGGAAAACACCTCAGCTACTGTGCCGCAACACATAAAAGAAAAAGGGAATAAAATGCAAAAGATGAAAGCCAAGTGAGCTACCGATAACAGATGGGCATCGTTCCGGTAGGCTACCAGCCGGCTGCTGTGCATCAAAAAGAAATACTATGCAAAATTATATAAGGCTAAATAATGAGATCGTGGTTGGAGGGGGAGACTAAGAGAGATGGGGAGCAACAAAGAAACTCATCGCACGAACGCCGCTGAGGTCGGCTCCAAGACATATCAACAAGTGTATCTAGCCAGACGTGTTCATCGTCTTTCGGACCCCAACCAGGGAGCCGAGACGCTCCAACGGAGGACAGCTTAGAAGTGAGGGCCTTCATTCCTCTCATCCAAGTCATCGCTTGGCCACCCCTCCTCTTCTTCAATCCACATCCCCGGTGAGCAAACAACACACGTCGTGGAAGTCGGTGGGCTGACATGCGTAAAACGTGGCCGAGCCATCGGAGCCTGGTGCGTGAAATGACGGTGCTGAGCAGTTCATTTCCTTTTCCTGTGCCGTACACAAGGCGTCGAACACGCTCGTTGCCCCCGCGGTGTTCCCACCAGATGTGAGCTAAACTGCGAAGACACCGGTGGTCGAAGGTAACTAGCCTCTTTATGTCCGTTGATCTAAGGTGCCAGGTTTTACAACCGTACAATAGGGTCGAACGTACCGCTGCATGATACACTCTAGCCTTCAGGGCGAGAGTAATGTCGCGCCCGCGCCATAAGTGGCGAAGATTAGCAAAAGCACCTCAAGCTTTTGCTATATAGTTCGTGATTTCATCTTCAATTCCACGGGTGCTGATACAACTTCCCAGGCAGTTGAATTTCCGAACAATTTCAAGCTGATCCCCACCGCGGGTCAGCGCAGGAAGCGATCCCTGCCAATCTTTGAGGAACTCTTTGCATTTCGATGGTGCAAAGCAAAGCCCGAAGCGGCTGAAAGCCAGTACTAATCTGTTTATCGCGGCTTGGCACCTCTGGGAGCTGTCGCAGATGAGGGCATTGTCGTCTGCATACTCTAAGTCAAGAAGTCCTGCTCCTGGTAGTAGCTCAACACGTTCTTAGTCGTGTCCTGTGAACGCGATTTCTATGGCTTCATCAATAGTGAAGTTGAAGAGGAAAGGTGACAGCAGGCATCCTTGTCTCACACCGCTGGAGACATTGAAGGACGACGACAGCTGGCCGTAAGTCATCACTCTGCGTGAGCTACGCGCGTATAATGCTCAGATAATATGTAGATATTTCTTAGGTACACCTTTCTTGAGTAGACAATCCCAAAGTGCACGCCTATCCAGCGAATCGAATGCACCTTTGATATTGAGGAACAAGACAACGGTGGATCGCCAACACATGGGACCGTGCTCCAACAACTGACGCAAAGTGAAGATGTGGTCAATGCAGCCACGACCTCGATTAAACCCGGCTTGCTCTACACGAATACGGCTTTCACAAGTGCCCGTCAGTCTGTGAAGGATAACAGAGGCAAACAATTTCGAGGCGATGAAGATCAGACTGGTTCCTCTATGGTAGCCGCATTCCGATCGTGAGCCTGTCTTGAAGATTAGGACTATGACGGAGAGGCTCTAGTCGGTTCGGAAAGTTTCATACTCCTACACTTTCATTAGTAACTCGTATAAATCATCCGCAATAGCAGGTCCCCCGAATTTGGAAAGGGCTGGAGGAAGATCATCTGGTTCGGTGGCTTTATTTAACTTCAACAGTCCGATCTCACGTTCGATTTCTGAGCGAGAGGGTGGATCTAAAGTCACAGCCCAGGGAGCGGGGCGATCAGTGGCCGGCGAGAAATCGAACAATTGCGACCGATTAAATTGCTTTTCAAAGGGCTCAACCCAACGCTCCAAGCATTTTGACAAGTTGTGGATAGGCTGTCCACTCTCGTCACGTATAGCTTCACTAAAACCAGGTCTCCTGCTGCCCGTTTCCCGTATCAACCAGAATAAATTACGGTGGTTACCAAGGGCAGCGGCCATTTCCATCTCTGATACACGATGAGACCACCAGGATTCGCAGTCTCTCTTCAGGCTAGCACGAAGTCTTGCCCGGAGCTCTTTGCGAGTTTCATTGTATTCGATTCCAACTTTATTTTGCGTCAGCCGTTGGAGCACGGTCCCATGTATCGGCGACCCACCGAATTTGTGTTCCTCGATAGCAGAGGTTTAATCGACTCGGTTTATTGATGTGCCCTTTGAGACTGTCTACTCAAGAAAGGTATGCCCGAGCAATATGTACATATTATCTGAAAATTATACGCACGTAGCTCACGCAGAGTGAGCGGTGTGAGACAAGGATGCCTGCTGTCACCTTTCCTCTTCAACTTCACTATTGATGAAGTCATAGAAATCGCGTTCACAGGACACGACTAAGAACGTGTGGAGCTACTCACAGGAGAACGACTTCTTGACTTGGAGTATGCTGACGAGAGTTCCCACAGCTGTGGCAACTTGCAAACGTGCCAAGCTGCACTGCACAGATAGCTAGGGCTGTCAGCTGCTTCGGGCTTTGCTTTGCACCATGGAAGTGCAAAGCGTTCCGCCAGTATTGGCCTGGACCGCTTCCTCCACTGACCCTTGGTGGGGATGAACTGAAAGATGTACAAAAATTCAACTACCTGGGCAGCTGTTTCAGCGCTCTAGGGGTCGAAGATCACATCACAATACGTAAAGCAAAAGCACGAGGTCCTTATGCCAACCATCGCCAGTTATGACGCCGGGGCGACACCACTCTCGTCCTTAAGGCTACAGTGTATCATGCAGCGGTACGTTCGACCCTATTGTACGGTTGTAAAACCTGGCACCTTAGATCAACGGACATAAAGAGGCTAGTTACTTTCGACCACCGGTGTCTTCGCAGTTTAGCTCACATCTGGTGGGAACACCGCGGGGGCAACGAGCGTGTTCGACGCCTTGTGTACGGCACAGGAAAAGGAAATGAACTGCTCAGCACCGTCATTTCACGCACCAGGCTCCGATGGCTCGGCCACGTTTTACGCATGTCAGCCCACCGACTTCCACGACGTGCGTTGTTTGCTCACCGGGGATGTGGATTGAAGAAGAGGAGGGGTGGCCAAGCGATGACTTGGATGAGAGGAATGAAGGCCCTTACTTCGAACCTGTCATCCGTTGGAGCGTCTCGGCTCCCTGGTTGGGGTCCGAAAGACGATGAACACGTTTGGCTGGATACACTTGCTGACATAGCTAGGAGCCGATCTCAATGGCGTTTGTGTTGTGAGTTGCTTTGTCCCACGCCATCTCTCTTAGCTTCCCCCTCCATCCGCGTCTCACTACTTAGTCTAATCGAGTATTGCATAATAGATTTTTGCTGCGTAGTTATCTGCTGATACCTTACCGGAACGATGCCTATCCGTTTCTGGTAGCTCAGCTGGCATGCATTTGTTTCATTTTTTCCTTTTATGTATTGCGGCACAGTAGCTGAGGTGTTTTCCACCTCTAGCTAACGTGTATAATGCTGATGATGAGCACACGTCAACTTTTATTGCCTAGCGTGCATGCCAGTGTGGCCGGCTGAGAAACAGTGCAGTGTGGTCTGATGAGAGATTGTTGACGATATGAGTTCAACAAGTACCGTGAGAACACATATGCGGATGGCACCCTGGTTGCAAGGTGGCTGCGGTCAATTAAATTGGGAGTTGCACAAGGAAGAGTAGTAATGGGAATCGGGAGGGAACAAAAGACACGGGTGGAAAAGAAAGGTCTCGCAAGTAGCATGACTTATCTATCTGCATTGACGTGTGCGGCAGACAAGGTGATCCTTTAAAGCCGTGTGAAGACCGGTGCGGCATGCGGCTTTAGATAGGAAACAAATTCATTCATGTTTGTGTATGGGATAAGGCACCGCCAGCGTGCCCATACTTGGGCAAGAGAAAGATTAGGGTCTTTAACCAAGCCCTCCTCTCAAAATCCCACTATAATAACGCGATTTTAGTGAGAATGATGCCAGCAGTATCCATCTCCCAACGTAGAGGACCAGGAACTGAGTCCGTCGGACCTATGACCGAGAAAGCTAATGAGGTTAGTAGTAGTAGTAGTAGTCGTCGTCGTAGTAGTAGTTAGCCGTCGTAGTAGTCGTCGAAGTAGTCGTCGTAATAGTCGTTGTAGTAGTCGTCGTCGTAGTAGTAGTAGTCGCAGTAGTAGTCGTCGTAGTAGTAGTAATCGTCGTAATAGTAGTAGTCGTCGTCGTCGTAGTAGTAGTAGTAGTAGGGGTAGTAGTAATCGTCGTACTAGTAGTAATAGTATTAATAGTAGAGTAGTAGTAGTAGTCTAGTAAACAATGCAAGCTAGTAAATAGACATAGAGCCTACAGAAACTATGAAGATTAGCAGATAAAGGGCAGAGTCGCGGCGTCATAATCCCCGTGGCACATAGTTGAAGGTGAGCAAGACTTCAGCTACTGTGTCGCAGGAAGAAAGGAACGTTTGATAAAAAATGGAACAAAACATCTTTAGCTTGTTTTTAACACACCGATGTTTCTCTTTTTTATCACTTTCAATGTTTGAAGTATTAAACATATGAATATAATGAGGGTGGCTCCCAAGAAGCCCGGGAGTATCACCCGGTATAGTTCAGTGAGTCGAAGACGCATGTAGAGAGCCGCAGTGTTCAGGTGCAAACTCGTTATGATGACCAGTAAGCGAACTCAATATGAGGGCGATAACAGACACATGAAGCGAGGATGTGTACCTTGGCCATAAAATCGATAATTCTCTGCTTGATCAGGCAAAGTGGATGATGTTGTTGATTGTGAAGAGACCGTGTGGTCAGTTCGATTATGCGTGGGGGTACATTGAACCATGAGTCGCATGGGTAGAGTTGTCCGCAGATATTCACCCATTTTGGTGACTCAGGAACTCCGCGTTCTGCTACTTCGATCTGAAAAATAGAAAGGATGAATAAGGAATGGAATTCATGCCGATAAATGCATTACCACAAAAACAGTCTGAGGCAAATCTCTGAAGATACCAGAGGCTGATGAGTGTTCGCAAACTGGCAACCCCAAGCCGAGTGTCAATGTGGCGCTTGTCGTCCAGGAGGATGATCACCTGGATATCCTGATTTCATAATTAAGAATTACCGAAAATAACAACCTACTGATACGCAAAGCTGTCTCCGCGTGAGCAACGGGAGTTTCGTTAATCTGTGCTGATCCGGACTTCCGTGAATTACACTCCCAAGATAAAAAATAAAGCGGACGAGAAGAAAATCAAGAAACTGGAGAAAAACTTATGAAATCTGGAGGAGACAGCTACCAATGACCGGAACGTATATGAAGGTTTACTTTGTAGCCGACGGTATCCATCTCCGGAGTAACCGGACGCTCAGTACGCTCTGGTAAATGACCTAATATAATGCACCGAAAACCACTTCGATTGCTACTGAAGCGTCCGCAACTCAATCGCTTAGCTCGGTGAGCAAGTTAACACCTCCATGGCCGACCGGAGTCCCGTCGCCGGTGGTATAAAGACCGAGGCTGTGTGCTACAGGCAATGTAGTGGCAAATGTGGCTGAACGACCAATATGTGTCGCAACGAGCGCATAGTAAGTCCTCAGATATTGGTAGGAACACTGAGGGTTGCACAGATGCATCATTTCTATACACATACCAAAAGTGCCGTAGAAGTATGAATTCGGTTCACTCCTGCTAGTGGAGATTTTTTAGATTCGAACAGACCTCCGCATCGATAGTTACTAAAGGCTAGACGCAATTTGTTTGGACTAAAGCGACGTTCTCACACCATTGAGAAGTTGGTAGTTAAACTATGAAAAAGTAAGAATAAAGTATCTGAATTACAAAAACAAGTGAGCAAGTGACACCTGGGGAAGTTAAACAGTTACATACAATGTAAAACGGATTTCTACCATCGCCCGTTGTTGTTTCAGTAACTCCACCTTGACACATGTGTCACTGAGGCGAAATGATACAACGGCGAGGAAGTGTGCGTGGACCATTGTTATAACAAAGGGGATGACCAACCCTACCACATAAGTCATGGAGAAATGATAAGTTAGAACATATTTGCGCTCACCGAGTATGCACGAGTTGAGGTGCGGAGAAAGATCCTCGAAAACCGAAGCCGAGTGACAAAAACATGGTACGGTTTCACACGGAACATTATTCAGAATGTGAAATTAAGTGAACCGATAGTATGAGAGGTTCAAATCTGTGAAAAGAAGAAATAACATGAAATCCCGCTGTGTTGGGGCCAACAATAAGAAGCCATATTTTGGGTGCTAGCGTATGAAACTAGAAGTAATAATTGGAACCGTATTCAGCAGGGTTAACTTGAACGCGTAGCACAGTTAGGTCGAAAAACGAGAAGGTTAACGTAAACATGGATATATGTCAATACTGATGGGCAAATGCAGCTTACGTCTACCTGCAATGGCCGCCTTTAAATCAGCTAAAATTGCGTCGAAGTCAGCCCCTCAAGGATGAGTATTCATACAGCAAAGTCAAATCAGCGAAAATGACAGCCTGCTAGATACTCAGAACGTCTGGGTATATATCGTTTGTTTAATTCCATAAGCAACGACCTAATTATACTGACGAGATCATTCCTTTGACTCAATAAACGACGAGGAAATAACTGTATAGTACATGAATAGCAATCAATACGCAACCGGATCCGTCAGGCTTGCCGCCAATTGATTGTCTGGCTTGTTTCTTTGATCCATCTGCTCACTGTGACAGAATAGTCCCATCACATCAACTGGAGCCAAGGTACAGTCAGTTTAATATACATGATCGGTCGAATAACTGAATCAAGAATATGTTTTCAGTAAGGACAAAATGCTACGTGCTCGCCTTTGGGTGTCGAGTACAGATTTAGTACGAGACGCAGGTACAAGCTGGACTTTAATTTGCATCGGGGCAAACTTTGGCGAATCCGACTTTTAAGACCTATCAATCAATCAACAACAGTAGTACATCAGTCAATTGAACTGATGCTTCGTTGCCATACAACCATGATGACTTACAGAATCAAGAATAAGAGATAGAGAAGGGGGACTAACCTGAAAACCTCAATGCCTTAAGCAAACATTAAGGGTCAAGTCGCCTACACCTTGTGTCAACAATATACCGTCACAAACAGCTGGCTATCGTGCGAAGATAAGGCGGCATCGGCGAGACAGCTTCCTTGCGGCTTTCACTGCCACGCGTCATAATCAGCCATTACCCCGCAGATAACTCAGCACCAAACACACTTTAAACAGGCAATCCGATTAGGAGACAGCAGCAGACGCGCCACTGGTGTCTACTGCGAACCATGTCCTGTAAAGTCCCGAGCCAAGCACAAGGCGAGTCACGTGGACTCCAGCCCGGAAGGCGAGACGGACCAACGGCACCCAGTTTGGTCGTCAGTGACTTCATTGCCCTCTGCCAAGTCAACTTCTGTCCACGTCGAGCCTTGCGCCACCCTACACCTGGCAGACTAAACAAGGCCCTCCTAATAATAATAATAATAATGTGTCAGCTGTACGCCGTAACGGCGCTTCGCTGCCGCGCAATCACCACAAGTCGCGCGCGGACTGAGTATACCGCGAGGACGCCCACCCCTACGCGGATTCGAACCGGTGACCTTATGGTTGCAAAGTAAACGTGCAGACCACTCGGCCACTGGCCGAAGGCCCTCCTAGGTAAGCAGTGACCAGGCATACGTAGCACGTGCCCGAGCCAACGCAACTTATTCAGTGCTATCTGTTGTTCTAGGGAGCTAGCATGATTATCACCACCTAGTACTCGCCTACGCACATCATCGCTGCGGACACGCTGGTGCCATCTGACTATGGCAATGCTTCGCAGACAACGATGATCAAAGACTTGAAGGCGCCTCAGATCTTCAGACCGAAGGGACCAAGTCTCACTACCATAGAGCAGAACGGCCCTCACTGTGGCCTTGTATACCCGGCCTTTCAGACGGAGGGAAACTCCATTCTGTCGCCAAAAATGCCGCAGGTTCAAGAAGGTAGCTCTGGCTTTTGCAATGCGTGAACTGACGTCAGTTTCTATGCGCCCATCATTGCTGATGCAGCTGCCAAGAAAAGGTCAGACCAATACTTATCTAGGCCCCTGTAAAAGGTTTCTACAGTGGTATATTCCACTAAATCAGAATGAGTTTTATTCCAGATGTTAACTACTCGGTTTGTAAAAAAAAGTTCTCCCTGATATCCAAAGGAGCCGTGTTGTTTGGGCTTCAGGCGATGCTCGCGCAGATGGTCTGACGTAGCTAATTCAAACAGATGGGTGGGACTAATACCACTGAGTCCCTTAATGATCATAAACGTCTCTACCAAACCCCCTTGCAACCTTCGCCGTTCCAAGGAAAATAATCCCAAGCTACTTAGACGATCCCCTCGTTGACCTATGATCATCCTGGTCGCAAGTTTCTGAATCTTTTCTATACACATAGCGTCACTACGGAGATACGGTGCCCAGGCCTGAACACAGTACTCCAGATGTGGCCTAACCACTGCTTTATATAACGGCAAGAATACTTAAGCTTTAGTGTTACTCAGCGCCCTCTTGAGGCGAAACAACTCTTGTCGCGCTTTAGTGGTACCATGGCGACATTGTGCCGAAGGCTTAAAACGGTTCACTATGATGACACTTAAATCGCGGGCTTCATCAGTACACCACAATGATAGAGATCCCGCTACCGCTACTGATCAACAGTTGACAGTTATTGGCATTCAGAGGTAAATCCTATTGGCTCGACCAATTCACCACAGTGATGATGTCCTTAGTCAATGTTATGAGATTTCCCCGACTGACTAGCTTCAAGTCATCTGCGAAGATACGGAGGGTGAAGGAAAAATTTTGAGTGATATAGAAATCAGATAGCGGGACAAGTCAAATAAGTTTATTGTAATCTACCACTCCTTATTATACAATATATACAAAATCATTATTCTACCTCTTTTTTCGCATTTCAGCAGCTTGTTGAAATGAGCGTGTTCAACAATTTTGTGAAAATAGAAAAACTAGAGCACGACGCGGTGCTTAAATATCTTTATCCCAAAGCAATGTCACCATCTGAAATCCACCAGGGTATGCTGAATACATTGCATGACAATGCCCCTTCATATGCTACAGTTAAACGCTGAGTGCACGAATTCAAATGCGGCAGGAAGAGTATTGTAGATGAGTCCATGTCAGGAAGACCATCAACAGCCACCACCAAAAAATCTTGATCTAACAGTGGATATGATCATGTAAGATCGCCGAGTATCTACTCGTTAGATAGCAGAGAAGTTGAGCATCTCCCAAGAACCAGCGGATAATATTCTGACAAAGGAGTTAGGCTATTCAATAGTTTCCGCTCGATGGGTGCCACGTCTTCTGACGCCAGAGCAGAAGTGCACTCAGCAAGTGATGTCGAAGAACAAATTGGAACTGTTTGAGACTGATGCCGATAATTTTCTTGCTCGATTCCTCACGATAGATGAGTGTTGGGTACACTAGTTTCGACCAAAAAGAAAAGAGCAATCAAAGCAATGGAAGCGTGCATCATCTGCGCCAAAGTAGGCCAAGGTCACGCCGTCAGCTGGCAAGGTAATGGCATCTGTTTTTTGGGATTCCCGAGGTGTGGTGATGATTGATTTCCTTGAATGAGGTCATACCATCACCGGAAAGTATTACTGTGAGCTGAAACGTCTCAGAGAAAAAAGGCGAGGAAAGAGGCCAGGAATGCTGATGAAAGGCGTCCTTCTTCACAGTGACAACGCTCCAACTCACACCTCTTCCACTGCACAGAAAACAATCCATGATTGCGGGTTCAAACTTCTCCCCCATCCACCCTATTCACCAGATCTAGCTCCCACTGACTTTCCTCTATTTCCAAACTTTAAAAAAGCTTTAGCTGGCAAACGTTTGCTCAACGATAGTAACGTCATTGAAGCCGCAGAAGCCTATTTGTAGTCACAATCTGAAGTGTGCCTTTCCACTGGGATAAAAATGCTTCAGCACCGCTGGAGCAAGTGTGTTGCGCTTGAGGGAGATTATGTTGAAAAATAAAAGCATCGAGGAAGTTGTATTTTGTTTGGTTCTATGTCAGGCTCGAAACTTTTCATTCAACCCACGTATAGCAGTGACCCACAAGTAGAGGAGCCAGGTCGTTTATAAACAAGAAACTATAATGGACCCAAGTACCGAACATTGGGAAACACCGCTGTAGGCAAGACCCACACTAGAACTCGCTTCCCCAACCACAACTCTGATTGTTTTTCCATGTAAGCATTCAGAAAGCCATAGTAATATTTGAGGATGCAATCCAAACCACGTCAGCTTCTCAATTAATAATCGATGATTCACTGAGTCAAATGCTTTACTGAAGTCCAAATAGCACACCTCTACCGACATCCCACTATCAAGAAATCGGGCAACCTCATCTAAAAAGCACAATAAATTAGTAACACACCTCGTTTTAAAAAAGTCATGCTGTTCTGTTTTAATTAAATTGTGTTCAGTCAAATGTTCACAGATCCTGCTTCTTATAAGCTTTTCCAAACACTTCAGCACGATGCTGGTCAAACTAAGAGGTACTAGAACATACTAAACTGGGAAGTGATAAGGTGGCGTTGAAAAAAGTGCTTCCAACTGTAAAAACCAAACATGCGGGTTGGGAGCGTTGGATGAAGGAACTGAGAAACCCACAAGGTTTTCGGAAGCAAAAAGGGAAATTCGGTCGGAAGACATCATTGGATGATAGAGAGCAGAAGGAAGGCCCTTTGTCAGCTCCATCACTACCCGATCATTGTGGAGATGGCCTGGGTCATTGCGTAACAAGGTTCCACAGAGAAGCACTGAAACTGCATTCGAAACAGCTGGACCCCCGCAAACTAAAAGAATAATACAACAAATGCTTGAAACGTTCCTCGGTCTCGGCATCGACGATGGACTCCGGAAGGCGGTTCCAGTCATCCACGACGAGAGTGGATAAAACCAGGCTGGATCACACTTGAGGACTCCTCGGTTTGAACAATTGCAAACTGTGGCCCCTTGTCGAACTCTCTGTGCTGAAAGGAAAGAATTCCTGTAATTCCCTCCCAAACTCTCCGCGATGACGACGGTAATCCAGGGAAGAGGTTCGATTGTTTGAGCCTGAGAGAATAGGACAGGTCCCGCAGCTCAGGAACAGATTTGAATCCACGCCGTTGAATCT